GGTCCAATTTGTAGCAATAACATCACTTTGCCTGTCAATTGGAGGTGGATTCACTGAACTTATACGCCTGCGTGAGGGGCTGGAATTTGGGCCTGAAAATTTTGAATTGCTGCACTATTTGATGATATGAAACCATGGTTGGATGCGCCTTGGAGTGTAGAAGAGGTCGATATGTGTTGGGCGTGATGGGTGTGGTCGGAATAGTGGTTGTCGCCAAGTTTTTTGGCTGCGAACTGTGAGGATTTTGTGGCTATGGGGGTGCATTTGGGAGCGGCGTGAGGTTGGGATTGTGGTTGGGATTTGTTGGGCGGGTGAGGCCAATACTGGTGGTGGTGATACTCGACGGTCTGAGGTGGAAGTCGACGGTGACGAAGATGGGAAGTTCTGTCGGTATTGGTTCATCTTTGATGTTCAGCCCCTCCAATTTTGAAGGGCTTTGTTTTGTTAATTTCAGTTTTCAATTAGAACAAATAAGTCCCTTAATTTTGCTTAGTGACCATTTTTGAAAGTGAGTGTAAATTGAGTGACCGTTAGTGCAATTTTGTAACTTTAATGACCATTTTGTTATTTTGCTGTAACTTCAGTGACCATTTCTGAAATTAACCCATTTTTGAATACACTAGCCAAAACCCCATCTTCGTTAATAACGAAGAAACACCTTAAAATCATCGAACACTAATAATTGCTACAAAATCAATCGTTCTGTTTCAGAAATTAAACAGTAATCTTTCATTCTGAAAAGTAAGAAGAAAAAATGAATTGTGCTCTGAAAATCTCATCTTCTTCAATTTCTTCATTACCCAAAGTTTCCCCATCGATTTGTTATTCCCATAATGTTTCATGGATTTGGCCCAGACCAATTTACGGAAATCACCGTAATCTCACGGGTTCTCGCTCATTTTCTTCGCCACGGGTCAGTAATGAATCGTACATTTATTTTTCTGTTTATTATTCTTGTTCTTGCTAATTTTAATGGGCTTTTGGGTTTGGATTTGTCCAAATAGACATGTAAATTTTGTGTTGGGATTTTAATCTGTTTTAAGATTGTTGAATATGCTAAATGAAGCAGGTTGAGCTAGTGATTAGTATCTAAATGTACAAATAAAGGAAAGTGAGAAAAAATGATAAAAGAAACAAGCATTGGTTGGTCTGAAAATCCTTAACAAAGATGGTGTCTTTCTTCTATTCGTTCAAGCAGAAGCCGTATATAGATCGTATTCACATACAATATACATGAAGAATGGCAGTTACTGTTTCTTTTTTGATTATGTGATTTTAAGAAGCAAATGAATACATATATACAAATGATTTCTGTAGTAGATTATATAATTTGACATTATACTAACAAACAAAACTGAAGCTTTAATGTTGTTTTTGCGTTAAATTCATTTTATCATGCTATATTATAGTCATTGACTCATATTAACTTCTTTAAGATTTCTTTGAGGAGCATTAGGCACTTATTTGGAGAGTAGTGCTTGTCGATTAACTCTTTTTGGTTCACATAATTGAGCATCTATCAAGAATCGAGTCAATTGACAGTAGAGATGGCTTTATTTGTGTTTTAGATGAGATAATCAAGGTCTCCCTTAAACAATGGCATGTTTATGGAAAAATACCCTGACGGCTACCATAAAATAATGTCTACGGAGTTTTTCTTGATTTTAACACGCTGCTCATGCTATATTATCAGTGTCCAATTTAATATATGGGAAAATAATTACTATGTATAGTAATAGAGTCATCATTCATTGCGAACTCTTGCAAAAGAAAAGATAAATACATTTAATAATAACTATGATTTTTATTGTTAGAAGTAGATGCATTTGACTATGAGGTCCAAGTTTATGAAATTATTCTGCAAATAATGGAAATTAAATGCTCACGGCTGAATAGAAAAAAAATGTTCCTTTGTTTTAACCAGGAAAACTAATGTAAAAAAATAAAAAAATTATAGCTGTTGAGTTGACGATAAGTTAATTATGCTAGAGTAAAAATTCCTTCTATAGTCATGCAAACCGTTTCCCTTTTTACTTGCATTCTAGATTAAAAATTTGGAACAAATTTAAACTGCTAAGAGGATATGCTATGATGTTGCAGGCTATGCCAAGTTCTGTTGGGGATGTTCATAGACGAAGCAGCATTGAATCACTTTTTTGTTATGATAAGCCTATTCCGGAGGAGATAATTGAAAAACCTATTGGGTTGTCGTTGGCCCTAATAAATGTTGGAGATAACCCCAGTTGCCCAAGTTGTCAAGCAAAAGGAGCTGTTCTTTGCACCACCTGCTCAGGTTCAGGCTTATATGTAGACTCTATCTTGGAGAGTCAAGGAATCATTGTCAAAGTACGGTGTCTAGGTAATGTTCTAATCCGATTTTGGGTTTTCTTTTTCGGTTATTTATTTTTCTGGATTCCCTTTATCGATAAAATGGATACAGGTACAGACATCTCCATTATTGTTTGAATCTAGGTTTTGGCTAGCATTGTATTCGATATTCTTGTAAGGAACTCATATGAACAAAAGAAATGGTTGCTATTCATATATGTTTGACGAGTTTGGTGAATTAAGGTCACGTTTGATACGGAACACTTGACAACACTGCACAAGACACCAAAAACTACATCAACATCTTTTTGTTCTTTAATAGCGTTCAGTGTTGACGAATCCAGCGTACCAAACATGCCATAAATGTGCTTAAACTAATTGCTTGCTTGAGTAAGGTCTCAAGGAATGTGTAGTTAAAATGTAAATAAAAGTTGGTCTTATAGAATATGTGGTTAAAAATTATGTTTGCCCGCTTATAAGCTTGAAAAGTCTTTGCCAAACATGCACTAATTTATCATGTAACATTATATGGAAGATTTGATAGCACTAGCACAGCACAGCACAGCAATTTGGCAATGTTACCAATGCCAGTTTCATCACAATCTCATTACTTAGGGAGAAACATATGTATAGGGATATAGCGTGTATTCCAATATGTCTGGAAGACTCAATATTCTCTATCCAAACAAAAATAGGTCTCAAGTTTGACCATCAGTAGATTCCAGAATTAAATCATGTTGTTCTTTCAAGGTGAAATGAACAAATGGAAATGAATATATCCTTCAAGATCATATCAATTATTCTAATCAGTCGGTCTTTTAACCGTATCAGTCTTTTGAACTATTCTTATATTTTCTTTGTTAGTAGAGATTAATCTGTCAAACTATTAATATCATATTCTCGGCAGCAACAAGTGACCCAATAGAGAGAAACTAACGCGGGAGAGAGAAAATAGAGTGAATAAGAACATTGAGGGGGAGATAAGCTTTTTACCTAAAACTCAAAACGACGAAGGATTACCAACACACAACAAAACGACATACAAAACATCTTGTGTTAGCTTTCTTATCCTTGTTTTATACCAGAAAATAATGACACAAACCAATCAAAGAAGACGTATAACGTATTTCATGCGTATTCTTATAAAAGATTGTAATGTGGTGGCAAGAATCTTGACATCTCGTGTTTTATCATGCAGGTTGCGGGGGAACTGGAAATACCATGTGTTCGGGATGTGGGGGTCGAGGACACCTTGGTCTTGCTTGATTAAAAGGTTTGCTTTCCTTCTAAAGATGGTAATGCTTCTCACAGCATTCTTGCATACAGTTCCAATATCCGGTTTTATCAAATCAATATGGGCATTTCGTAGAAGTTTGTACTGTGGTGGCAAGAATCTTGAGTCATCATGTTTCTGCCTTCAGGTTGCCAGGAGCTGGGAGTGATATGCGTTCGGGATGTGGGGGTCGAGAACATTGGTCTTGCTTGATAAAAATGTTTGCTTCTCATTGAATTAAAATAGCCTTTCTGGGATGTAAAAAAATAAATATCAAATCACGTTTATTCAAGATATGCTGGTTGGATATTCTTGTAATTTTTGTTAGTGTCTTGTAATTGAATTGAAGCACATACTATAAAGTGCCTGTTAAATTTCGTTTTATTGAAGAATTTTATCTTGACATATGTTTCCTTTTTGTCACACTTTCTAGCTAGCTCATTGTTAGTGAATGTGTTTATTTTCTCTCAAAATTGGTTGATCGGTCACAAATCTATTCGAGCATGTTTCTGTATTATCAAGTACGTTTTCTTAATCATATTAAGGTTACGATATTAAACGCGTTCTAACATCGAAAAAGAAATAAAGCTAAGCAGGCTCCTTTCATCAAACTATGAAAATGCGAACCTTCCCACCCACCTACCCCACGCGTCTAACGGTCACTTATTCAAACATCCATATTTAAGTATCTCACCAACCTTCTCAAGACATGGGCAATGGACTTCAAACGGTCACTTTTGCTACAAATAAGGTTAAAAATTTAATACTCTTTACTAACTTTTTGGTCTCCCTGTCTTAAGGCTCATTGTTCAGTTGAATCCAAAGATAGATATTTAATTCTATGAATCTCACTTTTACATAATCAAAGGACCAATTAATTGCACACTAGAAAAGCGCATTAAATTCCAGTCAAAATTCAATATTTTTGTCATCCCCAAAAGTAAATATGACAGCACAAACTAAAAACTAGTTTAAAAAATTTGATCGGACAGCGGCGGCAGCCTTCGGAAAAAGTTCATAGGGACAGAGGGCATGTCGCCACGGAATCTGGGGTGACGGAGGTAGTGGAACCCTAACCCTAAAACAAATACCTTGAAGGGGACGACATAAAACAATAAGGAAGCAAATAAGCAAAACACAACAAATATGCCGGTAGCTCTAGGGTCTCTCCAATTGAACAATGCCTCCAATCGTTCACCTTGAGCGGCAACATCGCCCAAGAGTGTTTGGGCACGTCCTGCTAGAGCACGTAACCGATCATAGCGGATGCGCACTTGATCCGTTGCTCGTGTGGTTGGAAATCCGTCGAATTCTTCATCTAGCTCATCGGGACTTGCGCTATCAACATGAGATAATCTAGGGTCCAGTGTGATCCTAACACGTTGGCGATAACGAAATCTCAATGCTATGAGTAGGAAGGCATACATGAAAATTGTTGGCAACACAAGATGTGGGCACAATACAATGGCTGCCAACAAGATATGGACCAAAATTGTTGTTGGTGGGTGCACCCATGTTTGAATCCCATTGAGCCAACGGGCAATTGTAGCTGCTTTTGACAAGCAACCCACAACCCGAAACCAGTTGGCCTTGCTCCGTCTCATGCTCCACATGTGCGTATCTGAGTCCAACATGAATTGGACCACTTCTTGGCCCAAAGCTGGTTCCGATCGAGCTAACCTTGCCGTCACAATTCTCATAGCAGTGTGCCTAAGGATGTCTTGTTGGGCAGCACCAAATGGTTTCACATAATGCATCCTTGGCAACACTGGATTGGCATATGCTTGAATAAGACTAATCCATGATGAGCACGAAAACCTCAAAGCAATCTCAATTTCTCCCATTTTCCTCGCCCCGCTAGGAAGCAACACCATAAGAGAATACGTACCAACATACACTCGATTAGTGTCAAGAGTCGAGAGGCGTACACGCAACTTCCCAAGCCTCACATCCTTCTTCAACCCCGCTTCATCATGCTTGTACCTTACATTATCAAACACTCCTATAGTCAATACTGTGCAAGGATCATACACGTCCCATGTGTATTGTTCATTCCACCGTGGATTAAACCGGTCAAGAATTGTTCGAGTGCGAACCCACTTCGGTCCATATTTAGCCACAACGTATGCATCTGTTGTCCCACGTGTACCATCCTTCGTCTTGACCGGAAGCAGATTAGCAGCCCCTCTAATGCCCACTTCAAGCAACCCAATAGCTGGCTTGGACAATTGCTTGGCAGTAGCCCTAACATCGCTGGTCACATGAGCTGCCTCATCTATCACGTGATACCCTCCTTCCAAACACACCCGCACGTGTATTCTTCCACCATAGGATTTAGTATTTTGATCACCATCAGTTAAATTAAACCACCTTGATCTCGGCTCTGATTTGTCCTCGGTTCGCTTGTCTATTGTAGCCATCTGCACCTTAGCACACCCAATTGCTTGCCCATTTGTCACATCCTCCACTGTAATTATCAAAAAGGGCTCAAACGGCTCGGCTGCCACGAATACAAGGTCCTCATCCCACGTAGGACTGGACGAGATAGTAGAAGAGCCAACACAAATTCGGCTCGTTTTGAATAGCTGCGCGCCAAGCTGGGCTTTCACAAAAAGCTCAGGATTCCGAACCTTAGGTTCGTTTGTACCCGAACCTGAAGCTAGCTGTAAATCCTGGGCTTGGATGACCGTTAGTCTCAAATACCACAGCTTCGGAGACAAGTACACCTTGGCTCGGGTTTCCGGTATCAACCCACCAGAATCTGACTGCCAAGCGTCCTGAAAAGCCTCGTCAGCCTGAGTACCAACCCACACAGACAGCATGACGTCATATCCAGGCGAGTCCTGGTTTTGCTCCGCCTCTAAACTGTACCACTGCGGTGCCAATGGGCTGTCCGGCGGCACTCTTTTGGGAACTTCCTGCAAATCGAACGACACGGTTCCGATACAACTTTCTGAAAGTCCGTTGTTGTTTTCATTTTCTGGGATCTTTTTCTCAATCCAAACTGAGACTTCAAGGGAGGTTGAATTTAATCCTTCTTTATCAAATGCAAAAACTTGATCCCAATCTTTATTAGCAGCATGTGATTTGGTCTTGACGCTATGTGTGCCGATCACGAGCTTAGAATAAACTGAAGAATCAGCCTCTGGATTTGAGATTTTCGCTTTGGCTACACGAACATATAGAAATGGCATCTGATCCACCAAATCAAAAGCCATTCGCCGGTCCGAATTGGAGATTTTCTGGAACAGTTTTGATTCAATATCAATATTCTTCAAATTTTCTGCAACAATGGACTTTTCTGCTTTCTGGGAGTTTTTCTGCTGAACTAATGGTGGATTTGCTACTTCCGACACTGCCGGAGGTGGTGGTGGAGCCACCGCCGTATCTGGTTCTGGAATCTCCAGGGGTTTTTCTTCTTTTTTCGACTCTTCGGAAGCGAGTCTTTTCTCTTCTTCCTTTTTCTCCTCCGTCTTTTCCTCTTCCTTTTTCTCCCCCTCGGCCGGTGGTGGAGCGGCAGCAGACTTCTCCGCAGCCGATTCCTCCGCAGGCGGCGGCTCCTCATCTACATACCACACTTTAAGCCCAATCTCCCCCTTAATCTGCGAGAAAACACTTCTCTTCTCCAATGGATAATAAATCAAAGGCACTTCTTCACCAGATTTCACAAAAGTGCTTCCAGCAACCTTCACTTTTCCAAGAAAAGTGCTTCTCTTGACACTCTTTTTAACATTGTACACGTTGAGCTCCAACATTTCCGACGCCATGGATTCAACATCATGTACCAAGAATTCGAGCTTCTCGCCCCATTGAGGGTTAAGATCCCTGAAAATTGTCTTGGTACGTCGGCGTTGGCCGTCGAAATCCACGATCACATATGCACTGGCCGTGCCTTGGCCGTCTTTGGGCATCAGATTCTTGGCGTCGCACACTTCCACAGTTAATTTTCTGCTTGCCATTGGTTCTGATTTCTTGCTTAATTTCTTGAAATAAGAAAAACAAATAGAATTAAAGAATAGCGAGTTGCTTTTTCTGTCCAAACTCAGAAGATGAAGAACAAAGAAGAGTGAGATGTTTAGAGAGAGTGTGGGGTCGTGGTGCTATTTATAAGGGTGAGAACGAAGAGGAGCGCATCCACCCCCATCCCAATCCCTCCCATTGTAGTGGGGGTGGTGGTGATGGGCAAATCAAAGGTACACGTAAGACGTAGGTAGGCCACGTGGTGGTTCAGGATTTGTACTGGATAGATACCGACGAATCAATTTGTATCATGAATAATGCTATGTGTACACAAACTTTCACACAATCTTTTACACCCCCCTCACATGGAGGGGGGTCCACACATAATAAAATAATCGTGGGCCCCCCTCCATGTGAGGGGGGGGTAAAAGATTGTGTGAAAGTTTGTGGGGACATGTA